AGAAAAACAACGTGCCAAATTGAACGGGGTAATTCTCACGCGCTGCGGTTTTCTGGGCAACCCGGGTCTTCATGCGGATGCTCAGATTCCATCGCCGCCGAAAGCGCTCCGACCACCTCTGGCTTCCTTTCCACTTCTTTTTCGGGTACAAAAGCTTCATGAACTCCCGCGACCACTCCTGCAAGCGGCCGACTGACACGGCGGTTCCCTTGCGGCGCCACTCGAGTAGCTTCTCGTACACCTTCAACTCCATCGGCCGGTACCACGACGCTCGCCCGCGGCCGTGCATGCGCTTCCGAGCGGAGTGAACATCCTTGAGGAATTCCGCCGTCCGCTTCCAGTTGGTGAGACACTTCCGGTGGATTCCGCTCTCGCGAGCCAAGGCGCGCACCGACACCGCCAATGACAAAATAGTAGGAAGAAGAGGGTTGCACTAGCAAGAATGAGGATACAAATAGCAAAACCCTAGAAGAGTTGTACTCGCTATAGAGCACCCCACTACAGGCTAGAGCATAATATTCTGACACACCCCCATAGCCAAAGTGGGGTGTAATCAGCAGAGCAAGCAAAAGAAAACAAGCTCAGGGTGGATCACAATGTCACCACACATTCTGAGCACAAGTACAAGAGGTAGCAGTTTTATAGTTAACAAATGTAAGCAAAGCTAGAGGCTATCACAGAGGGCAAGTGAGGAGGAGGAGAGACTGTGGGGGAGAGAAGATGGGAGGCGACTACTGACGCTGCAGACACACAGACGAGCTGCTGGCTCAGTGGCTACCGGAACAGCGCTCCGGACTACTGGGGTAACTGGCCCCGCGGCTAAAAGTAGCGGCAGACGAGCAACGGACCCACGGGCGACTGGCGACTACCGGAGATTGTAGCCTCCGGACTGCTGCTGCTGCTGACGACACGACGACCGCCTCCATTCAACCTCCCCCAACTGTCCCACCCCCATTTCACACACCCCCTGTTCAAACCCTAGCTCTACTCACACTCCACCCCCCTAGCACCACTCCGTACACTCCCACACATCCACCCCCCTCAGCGACAGCTGCAGCAGTGGGAGACGAAGGAGGAGGAGGAGCAGGCGACGCCACACACCCGCCACCCCCCAACCGCCACCCCCCAACCGCCACCCCCCAAACCCTAAAAACAGGGTAGGGAGGTAGGGGGGGGGGGGGGCAACGCGCGGCCCCCTGTAGCGGCCCCCCCCAGGGCGCCGCGACGGGCGACGGGAGTTGGGCCGGGGCAGGTCGGGGCCGGGGCAGGTCCGGGACGGGGCGGGGCAGCAGGGGCCGCGCACGGCTCCCCTGGGCAGCGCGACGGGGCAGCAGGGCCGCGCGACGGGGCAGCAGGGGCCGCGCGCGGCTCCCCTGGGCGGCGCGACGGGGCAGCAGGGCCGCGCGACGGGGCAGCAGGGGCCGCGCGCGGCTCCCCTGGGCGGCGCGACGGGGCTGCAGGGGCCGCGCGACGGGGCGACGTGCGGGTCCCCGTCGCCCGTCGCAGCGCCTCCCGGGGGCGACGCGGCGAGTGACTGGGCAGAAACCCGTCGCGCGCCTCGGGGCGCACGGCGGGCAGAAAACCGCCGCGCGCCTCGGGGCGCACGGCGGGCAGAAAACCGCCGCGCGCCTCGGGGCGCACGGCGGGCAGAAAACCGCCGCGCGCCTCGGGGCGCACGGCGGGAAGAAAAACTGCCGCACGCCACGGGGCGTGCGGCACAGAGAGTAGCAGTAGCAGTTGCAGCGGAAGCAACAAGGTGGTGAGCCCACCCACAGGATCGATCCAAGGGGATCGACCTGCTCTGATAGCATGACAAAATAGTAGGAAGAAGAGGGTTGCACTAGCAAGAATGAGGATACAAATAGCAAAACCCTAGAAGAGTTGTACTCGCTATAGAGCACCCCACTACAGGCTAGAGCATAATATTCTGACAGCCAAGTCCATCAGAGCAACCCACTTCAACTTCTCCGCGGCGGTGTAACCTTGCCGCTTGTGGTCGGTGAGCTTGTGCCTGGGAGAGGGGGGGCGGGCATCACGGTTTTGTGAAGAGGGGTGGGGTCGCTTGCGATTATTCGGAGGATAGGTTGGTATGGGCAGTTTCTCGGGTAGCCCGTCGCGTGACCAGTACTCAACGCCGTCGTCGTCAGCGTCGCCCGTAACACCTTCTGGAAACACAACGTCAGCGGTGCCGCCCCCGGCGGAAGCCTCCGTGCCACCCTCGGCGCCGTCAGCGCCGCTCGCTTCCTCAGCGTCAGCAACATCATCGTCGGCGCCGACCGCAGATTCGTCCCAAGGGCAATCGTCGGGCTGTCCCCAACGTCCTCCAGGAAAGTGTTCCACTTCCACGTACTCATCTTGCGCCTTGTTAGACTCCGGTTCGGAGAGGTATTCGTCGAACGCCGATGGGAGCAGTAGCGTGAGCACGGGCTGATTGCCAGTGAGTTGCGGAGACACAGGACCCAGAGGCGGAGGAGCAGGAGGAACAGGAGGCGCAGGAGGTGCAGGAGGCGAAGGAGGAGCAGGAGGCGCAGGAGGCGCAGGAGGCGCAGGAGGCCGTGGTGGCTCTGGTGGTTCTGGTGGGATACGGGAGTACCACCCGTCAGCGTCTACTCTAAACGCGGGCCTTCGCGTAGGCTTTTTCTTGAACAAGAAGTGGGTGCCGCTGAATTCCGCCATGGCGGCGGCATTCAGGCGAGAACTACCAAGAAACCGAACGAGAAACTGAGAGAGATGGAGAACAAATGAGAGATTCAAAGGGACCCCTTCTGGTTAGCGCCTCGGGGTCCTCGTCGGGGAGAGACGGATACCCCCTGTCTGAACCCGGAGAGGAGGTTATCGCGGCACGAAGATGCTGCGCTGGCAGGGCATTCCAGCCCCTTCTCGATGGTTCGGGTGAAATGCAGCTGCCTGCCAGTGCATAAAAGCCTGATTGGGCCGCAAGGCAACTTTCACGTCAGCGCTGGCAGCAGGGCTGACGTTTCATTTTAAGCTTCCCTGATTCCGGGGAAAATTTTCCCCCTCTATTATGGGTGCACATTTTCCAGAAAAGCAGTACCCTGATTGCTCAGGGTTGTAAAGTAGTTAACACTGATTGTTCAGGGTCGAGAACTGAACATCATAGTAGTAACGCACGCTTTGTTACCGGGGAAAATATCCCCTCTCCATAAAGTCTCGAAGTTTCGATCAGAACGAAGTTTCGAAGAAACTTCGTCTCGATAAAGCGGGAAGGGGGGGGATTACGCACATGTGGGGGGATCACTGCGATCAATCCAAGGCGGGGTCATCGGAAAGAAACTTCCGAGAAACTTCCTTTCGATAAGTCGGGGAAAATATCCCCACTCTCCATAAAGTCTCGAAGTTTCGATCAGAACGAAGTTTCGAAGAAACTTCGTCTCGATAAAGCGGGAAGGGGGGGGATTACGCACATGTGGGGGGATCACTGCGATCAATCCAAGGCGGGGTCATTGGAAGGAAACTTCCGAGAAACTTCCTCTCGATAAATCAGGGTCCACACAGTCGATACTCTGTTAAGTCAGGGTCCACTAACAGCCTAGTCTGTTACACTGTACTCAAAATCAGGGATAGCTAAACTATTACTCTGATTGGATCAGGGCTGGAAATTCAATAACTCTGAAATTTCAGTCTCCACGAAGTGGAAAGCCTGAAATCACCCTGAAATCAGGGTAATTACCCTGATAAAATCAGCCCTGGCTGGCAGGTGCGCTGCTCGTGGACGGGATTTGTGCGGTCGGGAATCGAAGCGCAGCAGTTTTCGGCGGGATTACATGCATTATCCCACGCGCACGTTACTCAATTGTGTTCGCCTTATTGCGGGCTTCGATTTGGTACATAAAAATAACAAATTCATTTTTGCCATGATATAAGCGCCGGCGCTTATGGCCGTTATTCAATTACAAGCGCCACCCCTAAAAAAAATGATTTTATTATAGGCGCATATGCGCCTATATCCAGGGTAATACGGTATTCACCAAGGCACTTCAGTCTGGTGATCATCAGCGTTTCTGTACTGTTTTAAGCCTTGTGCCTACTTTGCCTCACTTGCTCACTGCGTGACTTTGCTTGTACTGTGATCTATATACATATACCTGCATGCTTACCCCTGCTAGGTTATGATCACTATACTGTTTGTTCTCGTTCATATAATTCTGCATGTGAGCTGGCCTTGTGGCCATTTGTGTTGGGCATTGTTTCCAACAATTTGCTTGTGCTCAAAGTGTGTGGTGACCTTGTAATCCACCCTGAGCTTGCTTTGTTTTTTTTTTACTGGTCTTGTGACCTCCTGTTCTCCCCCACTTTGCCTATGGGGGTGTGTCAAGCAGGGCCCACGTTATCAGAGTAAATCACTCTGTTTCTCTGAAAATCAGAGTTGTTTTTTAGAGGGACTCTGTACCTGCTGGGTTATGATTTTGGGAGTTGTGTTTTCTCTGATGTATCAGAGTTGAGATATAGTTCACTCTGAGGCCCCAAGGTTTTTTTTCTAAGGATGGTGTTTACTCTGTACAGAGGATACAGGCCCCCTAGCCCCCCCCCCTCCCCCCCCCCCCCCCCCCCCCCCCCCCTTTCCCCAATTACCGGGGTTAAACCGAGTCGCCGAGCACTTCATCAAGATTCGCTTCGTGTGTTGGCGGCATTTTGCGAGCTGATTGGCTGGAGTGGCAGTTTTCCCAGCCAGCGCACATTGTTACACATCTGAACTTCAGTCAGGATCAAGGAATGATACAGCGCACGGAAGGTGTAAACGTGGGCGACGCGGCCAAGCCCTGCTAGTGCTCGGCTGGCTCACCGGGGGGTGAACCCGTGTTTCTCCATCCATTTCCACAATCCGTGATCAGGCTTAAGGTACCCAGCATCACTACCACGCCTCAAGCCACCCTTCTCCTGCAGCCTTGCCACAGATGGCTAACGACGCAGACCACGCTGACACTGCTGCGCCTGATCCTGATCCCGGCCCGTCATGCAGCTCTCGCCCCATCACAGGTATGGAGTTTCTGCGCAGGGTACATCGTTCCCACGAGCACGCCGGCGACCAGCAAGATGGCGGTGGTGACTACTGGGGAGGCGACGATTGGTATCGTCGGGATGGACCGGACGACGACGAGCATTCCGATGGGGTCGAGGTGTGGGTTCGCTCGCCACGCCAAGAAGATGAAGACCACGACGGACAGAACGAGGTGTGCGATGGATCGCACCACCCAAGCATCGCTGAACCGGTCGAGACAGCACCAACACAGGTCGTGGATGCGTCTGTTCCAGACTCGACCGCCTCACAGACGCCGAAGAAGCGGCGCTTCACGCAGTCCGGGCTCGGGATTGGTCTGCAGCCCGTTAAGCCTGCACCGACTCCGCCGCCACCTGCCAAGAAAACAACACCTGTAGTCCGACTCACCGCAGAGGAGAAGAAGGAGAAGTTGTATTTGAAGGCCCAGAAAAGCTACACGTCGGAATGGCTTCCGCGGTTCCCATGGTTAATCCTTGATAAATCGACTGATGGTTTCCCTTGTGTTCGCTGCAGTATCTGTATAGAGCACGGGAAGGACGATGCTCGCTACGGCCGCAATGGGAAAGGAGGTCGGGACCTCCAGATTGGGTCCTTTCGCTGGCACGAGGAGAGCGTGAAGCACGACGATGCCATGAAGAAGCAAATGGGTCTGATGAAGAACATCGAGGAGCAGAAACGCATCGATGACTTTGCGAAGGGCGATCCGGAGGGCGCGCGGATTTCGCGGCTAATGCGGAGCATCGTGTTTGTGTGCAAGACGGACACACCGATTCAGATGTACCCCAGGCTCGTGCAGTTTCTTGCTGAGGAGGGCATCACCGACATACCGCGACAGTCTTACGGCGTGTACATCACACAGTGAGTCTCACTTGATGTTGAACCCCGTACTCCTTGATTTTCCTTTTTTTTTTCAATATGCACTAACAACGAACCGTTGGTTGTGGCCAGGTACGGCTTTTCGGAAATGGTAAAGGCTTTAACCACTTTCCTTCACCGCGAGCAAATGCGACACGTGCACTCGTCGCCATACATTGGCATCATGTGCGACGAGAGCACAGACCGCGCTCGTGGCAAACACATGATTGTGTTTGTCACTTTCCTGAAGGACCGCGTGGTGGTAACGGAGTTCTTGACGCTCCTTACCGACACTCAATGTGACGCGGCGTCGCTGCATGCCGTTCTGCTCCAACATCTGGAGACCATCGGCATCGACCTTCAGAAAATTGTTGGGATGTCAACAGACGGCGCCTCTGTCATGGTCGGATCGGAAACTGGGCTTGTGACGCGCCTTCGCATGCAGATTGCGCATCTCGTCGGGTGCCACTGCATCGCGCACAGGTGTGTTATTATTCCAAAATGTTTCTGGTATTTTAACACGGTAAAACATCTCTCTGAGTCTATGTGATTTTCTTTTTGTGGTTTACATATCCTACTCTGCAACCCCCTGTTCCCTACCGTGCAGAGAAGCGTTAGCTGTCAAGAATGCAGCAGAGGCCTATCCAGACTTCAACATCGTGGACGACGCCATCAGGGCCCTCGGGTCGATCGTCGGGAAGTCAACTCCCTGGTATGAGCGGTTCAAGGAGTTGCAGCAGGTGTACCACAAGACCAATCTAGAGCACCAGGGGCTCAACAACGTGCGCTGGCTGGCACGGGGCGAGGCAGTGCTGCGGATGTGCCGGGTTCTTGGGGCGGCGATCTGCGTCTTCATCGAGTACGAGCACAAGATAGCCAGCACCGTGCAGACGTTGAAGTTTCACTTCTGCGTTTATTTTCTGGCAGACATCTTGGCCGAGCTCAACAATCTGAACCGGTTTTTCTAGAGGCGAAAGGTAATGTTATGCAGTATTATCTCGACGCTGTTTCCCACTTCTGCCTGGTGGTTTACACGTTTGTTTACTCTGTAATGTGAACTTATTATGTTTGGCTGTATTATCTCAAACCCTCCCGCCCTCCGCCCAGGTGGACGTCACAATCGTGGCGCAGGAGGTGGACCGCACGGTGTCGTACATCCAACACCGCTACATCGACTACGAGACGAAGTTCGGGGAGGGCCTTAGCCCACAGCTGTCGCCTTTCCTGGAGCGCCACAAGGATGGCAAGCGTGAGCTGAAAGTGGAGGGCGTGGACTCCAACGGCCGCGCAGTGAGCCAGGAGATTGTTCTAAGCGAGGCGCCCATCGCTGGCCACAAGTTTGGCGGAACAATGCGCGACTGCGAGAAGATGTGCAAGGCATTCGCCAAGCAGACCGTCCATAATCTCACCGAGCGGATGGCGGATCTTCGTCGCATGGGCGGGACGAGGCTGTTCAAGGTGGAATCGTGGCCCCCCAACCTCGACACACGCGAGCGACGCTGCCTCATGTGGCTTCGGCAAAACTCTGTGCTGTTCAACAACTGTCTGCACGGTGAGAATCTAGAACACTTTGTCAGTTGCGCATGTCTGGTGTTGTTTGGCTAAGCTCTGCTATCAGTAAATTATTTCAGTTTAAAACCCAAATTTGTCCCTGCGCGCAGGTTTCGACTTGCGGGCAGCAGAGCTCGAGCTGAAGACGTTCTGCCACATCCTCAAGAACCACCACGAGGACGAGGACTTTCATCAGGGGCTCCAAAACATGCTGAAGACGCGCGACTGGGCTCGCACGTACCCCAACCTGATGCTGATGTGGCAGGCGTTGTCCGTGCTACCGCTCAGCACTGTTGAGTGCGAACGTGGGTTCAGCAGGCAGAACGTCATCAAGAGCTGGATGCGCACGTCACTCAACGACGCTCGTCTGACAGAGCTGATGAGCATCCACATGCTCCAGTACGACTTCGTGTGGCATGAAGTCGTTGACATCTGGCGCAATCAGAAGAAGCGTCGCCCCGCCAAGAAACCTGCGCACGGCGCACCAGTTTGCGCAAGGGGGAAGGCGAAGATCGAGTCTGATGCGGAATCGGAGGGCGAGGATGACTACTACTAGTGTAGCCCAAGGGCCTCCTCTTTATTAGTTAGTTAGTATCGGATTTCCTATATTACATTCAATTATGAAATACATTCGTGACTGAACTGAACCGTGTGAGTGACAACAAAACGCAAAACAGTTGGAAAAACAATACTCCCATTCCATACTTCTCACACAACATTTTACACTACGATCAGAGTACAAAAAAAAAATACTCTGACGTGCCAGGGTTTTTAATCCACGTTATAGGGTTACTCTGTCAGCTCAGAGTAAGGCGTAGGAACCACTCTGGATTTCAGAGTTCGCATAAAAACTACTCTGAAAACCAGAGTACCGAAAAACCAAAAGAAGGCCCTGGTGTCAAGCTGTTATAATGTTTATATTATGTAGGCTGTAATGGGGTAGCCCATAAGGAGCACAGCACAACCCAATTCGGGTTAGTACTTGTACCAAGTTTCTTCTCAATGCAATCATTCCCTCGTCTAGTTTTTGACAATTATCACTATCCTAAGCCACAGTTATTGACTGGTGTGTCAGCTAATTCATCGTCCCTTGGATAACCGTGCAGCCCTGTCTGCTTTACGCTCCATTTTCTCCCTCTTCTTTTTATCTCTCGGGTCTTCCTCTCCCTGTACACAACAGGTCACCGAAAGAAAGCGGGAAAAAAAAAAAAAAAAAAGGTCCTTCTTGGAATCACAGTCGCTTCTACATCTCGAAGCAAGGGGAAAGGTAAATCACGAGTTTTAATTCAACCAAGTCTTGCAGAGCTGGGTCAGGGAGAACAGGCAGGTGATTACTCACAGGTTCAACTTTTTGGAAGAAGTAGGGGTAGAGCACGAGCTCCCATAGCTTCCACAACGCAAAGGCCGGAATCTGAAGGGGAAGAGAGGGCGGAGAGGCGGGAACAAAGAGAAGGACGGAGCAAAGCAGTGAGGATTTGGGAAAGTGCGAGGGTAGAGCACGAGGTCACAATATCACACAGCTTCCACACAGCAACCTGAGAGGAAGTGAAGCGGGGGCGAACAGAAGGAGAGAGTGCAATGTGCATGCTTTCAGCTGTTGGAAAAAGGTAAGGGGAGAAAACCAGCTTCCATAGCTTCCTCACTCTGAAGGCTGAATTCTGGATGTGGGAGGAAGGGGAAGAAGAGGGGAGGAACTATCGAGGTGAATCTCTAGCATCAGAACTTCCGCAGGAAAAAGGTGCTATGATCCAAAAGAGTCGATGAAATAGACGGACTAACGGTGCAAGCTTTGAGATTTGATCCAAAAGGGTCTCATGATTTGATTTTTCAAGCGTGGGAAAGCAGCTGGTCGACTTTCAAGCAGCACGATTTCCTCAGAGCAACGGCGCTATGATTCAGAAGGGACGCTGGGAGAGAAGAAGCAATGGTGGGCTTGAATCACATGGTACTGGAATGAAGAAACAACGCTCCAAGGCCAGGCAATGGGCACGACAAGGGATAGCACGACAAGGGATGGCACGACAAGGGATGGCAAGGGAAGGTAAGGCATGGCAAGCGTATAATGAGGTAGATGAGCCAGATCCAGTCAGAGAGAATGGAGGAGTGTTTGAAGGGTCCAAAGGAGAGCATCACAAGATACGGTATGGCAAGGCACGGCACGGTATGGCAAGGCACGGCACGGTATGGCAAGGCACGGCACGGTATGGCAAGGCACGGCACGGTATGGCCAGCGTACAATGAGGTAGATGAGCCAGAACCAGTCAGAGAGAATGGAGGCGATCTGGACGAAGGCAGTGATGTATATGATGTCGTGCAGATAGCTGCAAAAGGAAGAGGGGGGAGAGGAGAGGAAGGGGGGGGGGGGGGGGGGGGGTGTGTCGGGGGTTTCGGGGGGGTGGAGGGGGGATTGGACGGGAGGGAGAGGGGAAATTTTTAGACGATACAGATACACTGTGGGAAACACATAAGTTTTGGGGAAAAAATGGGAGGGTTGTGGGGATGGGATGCAACGGATGGGATGGGATGGGATGGGGTGGGATGGAATGGGATGGATGGATGGATGGATGGATGGATGGATGGATGGATGGATGGATGGATGGATGGATGGATGGATGGATGGATGGATGGATGGATGGATGGATGGATGGATGGATGGATGGATGGATGGATGGATGGACGGACGGATGGACGGATGGATGGATGGATGGATGGATGGATGGATGGACGGACGGATGGATGGACGGATGGATAAACGGATGGATGGGGATGGATAGTGCAATGGTTTGGCGCATTGAGGAAGCACAGGCGATGGGAAGCCACCTGCAGGGGAGGGATGGTGTTTACATACAGGTAATTTCAACAGTCCCACCCACCTGCACCAGTCCCACCTGCACCAGTCCCACCTGCACCAGTCCCACCCGCACCAGTCCCACCCGCACCAGTCCTACCTGCATCAGACAGGCCTTCTCACGCACCCACCCGCACAGCCCTCCCATGTTAAGGTCACTCCCCCGTCTCGTCGTACATGGTTTTTGCCAGAGAGACAATCCACGTCCTCACCTACCCGCACGTCCTCACCTACCTGCACGTCCCCACCTGCACCAGTCCTACCTTCCCCTCATCTCACCCACCCGCACAGCCCTCCCATGTTGAGGTCGCTCCCGCCGTCGATGAGCTGCCCCGTCTCGTCGTACGTGGCTTCCGCCAGCGAGACAATCCAAGCATCCACCCAACCTACCCGCATGTCCTCACCTGCACCAGCCTTACCTTCATTAGACAAGCCTTTTGATTTCACCCACCCGCACAGTCCGCCCATATTAAGGTCACTCCCGCCGTCGATGAGCTGTCCCGTCTCGTCGTACGTGGCCTCCGCCAGCGACGCGATCTGGTCGAAGCACGTCTTGTACGCGAATGTGGTTATAACAAGGCCGATCCAGTGGCGCCACGTGAAGGACGCGAAGAAGAGCGAGAGTCGCACGAGGATGTAAATCGCCTGGTGACGAAACGTACGGGATATTCATGGCGCAAGACGAAAAGAAGTAAGGAAGATGCGAAGGGCGAGAGACGCACGAGGATGTAAATCGCCTGAATGGAAAGGATAAACACCGAAAATAACGTGTTGGCGGCAGAAAACGAGTGGGGCTCCCATGGCTAAGCAGGCGAAGAAGCATGAGAGACGCGCACAAGAATGAAAATCGATTGACCCGGAGAATCATAGCTTTGTGGCAACGATGCGGAAAAAGTGCAAGAATAGCAATGTTACTAATTTCGGACGAATGAAGGCCTTATGCGTCAGCGGAAAACAATCGCGGAGTCCATCGATGCACAGAGGTGGGGAAAACAGTTACGGAGGTAATGTAGACGGTTCACAGGCAACACTAGCAATGACAAACGGACATGGATGCACCGAATTTTCCAGATCAGCGGCACGCAATGGCCCAATCCAACGCACATTGACGGTCACGATGAGCTTCTGCAGCCTGTTCATATGCTTCTCGTTTTCCTCCTTCCGCTTCTTTGCTCCCTTATTCGCCATCTTCCCCGCCGAGCCTCGACCAATGCGAAACCCTAACGGCGCGGATCCTCTAACTCGATAACCGCCTTGCCTGGAAAATAGGCTCACTGCTTGTCAAAAGATCGCACGTTGCTTGCTCGTTTTAGCAATCAGGAGGAACATCAAGACAACACAGCGCGGCACAATCGGTGTGAACCAATTTTCCACAAAAATGGCGGGAAGATGGAAGCAAAAGAAAAGCAGCACGGCACACCCACAACTGACAGAAATATGGGGCACCGTTTTGCGCGAAGGCTATACCCACTTCTGATTTCGGAAACGACGGGTTACAGTAACGTGGCCTGCTAAAATAAGAAATAGCTTCTACCTTTTTCGTGTTTTGGGACAAAAATCATAGGCTTTCGTCAGTTCGTTTAGTTACAAGGGATGTCGCCTGACAACATTCCACGCTGTTGGCATCCCTCCACACGTCATGCTGCCTCAGCCGCACGGAAGGATGACGGGCATCAACTTTCATCTAGTCACATGCCATCGTTACTACTATCACAGACTGAGTCTGAGGGTCAAATGCATGTGAATCTCGTCACCACTTCAACCCCACTTAGCCGTGTTATGTAAACATCCGAACGCACAGAAACGCAACTCGCCTTTCTTGACCGCAAAAAGGATGACCTTCGTCATTCGCCTTCAACATCAAGGTCACAGTTTCGTGCTTTGTTCAATCCCACCACCTGTCGGAATGGCTGTTCCATTCTGCGCACGCAGAATAATTCTATAACCACGCACCTGTAGCATTTCCACCTGAAACTCTTCAGCGCAGTCTGTCCTGTTGTAGGCGCTTTCCGCTCATCGCCGCCGGGCGTGCGTTCCGCCTGACGGATCTTACCACACGCTTTCTTCCTCTGAGTTGAGACCCCTACTATAAACTCTACCTGCCGTGTTTTATCGCGCGCCGCACGTACCTTGCTGGAAACTAGAATAATAATATTTCTAATTGAGGGTTTCTTATAAATTTGGAAAAAAATATTCGTGACTTCTGAGTCGAATAAACAGCCCGCCGTATCTTAGCGCGTGCTTTCTCCTCACATACTTGTTAGAGAATCCTATCGTTATACTCACTCGAGCAACAACAGTCCCTCCGCTTCCCTTATCTGCGCATAATCCCCGGCCGCAGCCCTTCCGTGCCTTGCTTACTCAAATCCTCGAGAGGCTTTCTTACTCACTGCCGTTACGCACAGATTAAGAAATCCATCCTTTCTCCGTATGGCGGGCTCTTCCGCCGCCGTTCGCGCGGCTCGGCCGCTAATTCCGTCCCCTGCAAGGTTGTCAACATCTTTATTATCACCCGCCGCGCTCGTGGCACCGTTTGTAGTGCCATCTTCCCCTGTAGCTCTCTCGCCACCCTCAATATTATCTCCTGGTGCACAGCGGCGCAGTGATTATAGAGAGGATCTTTCCGCACTGCGAAGCTCGCTATTCCTCGTTGCCACGTCAGCTCGCTCATCCGCCGACTCGTCCCGTGCTTCCCGGGTTTTTACTACCAGTGCCACTTGTCCTGCACCTTCAGTTACCACATCACCTAGCTCTTTCGCCGCATCTGGTTCCGCCGATACTTTCCCTGCCACGTTACAGCGGAGGAGGTGTTACTCCGTGGAGGCATCTTCGGTGGTGCGTCCACGTGGCGGTGCCCAATTGGTGCAGGTGGATCATCTCACAGGGGACGACGAGGGTGCGTGCTGCCATTTTTTTTTTTTTTTTTTTTTTTTTTTTTTTTTTTTTCATATAAAGCTCTAGACCGCCCGCAGCCCGCAACGCCATCAGCAAGCAGGCTGAAAGTTGTCCAATGTATTAGACAGGCGTGATGCTGCAAAGGAGTGTTAGGTCGTGTGAGTTCTTACAGTGAATCCCGGTAGACGTGGCCACAAGCATGCCTGTTATGGTGGACAAAAATAGAACAACGGGGTGTCCCGAGAATTGAACTCGGGACCTCTCGCACCCTAAGCGAGATCATACCACTAAACCACAAACCCACGCACTTATGTAGGACATTAAATATTGTTTTAAAAATATTTACGACTCTTCACCCTGAACCCACCACCAGGAACGCACGGGCATGACACAGGAAGAGGCGGAAGCATTTGTCAGCAGTCTCAGGGGAGCGTTCACCGACCTCGAGGTGAATGTTCATTGAGCATGTGGTGAGTGTCCGTGCTGCATGTGGTGAGTGTCCGTGCTGCATGTGGTGAATGTTCGTGCCTCATGCGGTGAATGTTCGTGCCTCATGCGGTGAATGTTCGTGCCTCATGCGGTGAATGTTCGTGCCTCATGCGGTGAATGTTCGTGCCTCATGCGGTGAATGTTCGTGCCTCACGCGGTGAATGTTCGTGCTGCATGCGGTTCGCGTTGCATGGTGGTAAGTGTTCAGGCTGAATGCGGTGAATCTGCGTGGGGGGGATGTTCATGGTGGATGCGGGGAATGTTTATTCTGCATGATATGAATGTTCGTGCTGCGAGCATACGGTGAATCAAGGTTCGTGCTGCGAGCATACGGTGAATCAAGGTTCGTGCTGCGAGCATACGGTGAATCAAGGTTCGTGCTGCGAGCATACGGTGAATCAAGGTTCGTGCTGCGAGCATACGGTGAATCAAGGTTCGTGCTGCGAGCATACGGTGAATCAAGGTTCGTGCTGCGAGCATACGGTGAATCAAGGTTCGTGCTGCGAGCATACGGTGAATCAAGGTTCGTGCTGCGAGCATACGGTGAATCAAGGTTCGTGCTGCGAGCATACGGTGAATCAAGGTTCGTGCTGCGAGCATACGGTGAATCAAGGTTCGTGCTGCGAGCATACGGTGAATCAAGGTTCGTGCTGCGAGCATACGGTGAATCAAGGTTCGTGCTGCGAGCATACGGTGAATCAAGGTTCGTGCTGCGAGCATACGGTGAATCAAGGTTCGTGCTGCGAGCATACGGTGAATCAAGGTTCGTGCTGCGAGCATACGGTGAATCAAGGTTCGTGCTGCGAGCATACGGTGAATCAAGGTTCGTGCTGCGAGCATACGGTGAATCAAGGTTCGTGCTGCGAGCATACGGTGAATCAAGGTTCGTGCTGCGAGCATACGGTGAATCAAGGTTCGTGCTGCGAGCATACGGTGAATCAAGGTTCGTGCTGCGAGCATACGGTGAATCAAGGTTCGTGCTGCGAGCATACGGTGAATCAAGGTTCGTGCTGCGAGCATACGGTGAATCAAGGTTCGTGCTGCGAGCATACGGTGAATCAAGGTTCGTGCTGCGAGCATACGGTGAATCAAGGTTCGTGCTGCGAGCATACGGTGAATCAAGGTTCGTGCTGCGAGCATACGGTGAATCAAGGTTCGTGCTGCGAGCATACGGTGAATCAAGGTTCGTGCTGCGAGCATACGGTGAATCAAGGTTCGTGCTGCGAGCATACGGTGAATCAAGGTTCGTGCTGCGAGCATACGGTGAATCAAGGTTCGTGCTGCGAGCATACGGTGAATCAAGGTTCGTGCTGCGAGCATACGGTGAATCAAGGTTCGTGCTGCGAGCATACGGTGAATCAAGGTTCGTGCTGCGAGCATACGGTGAATCAAGGTTCGTGCTGCGAGCATACGGTGAATCAAGGTTCGTGCTGCGAGCATACGGTGAATCAAGGTTCGTGCTGCGAGCATACGGTGAATCAAGGTTCGTGCTGCGAGCATACGGTGAATCAAGGTTCGTGCTGCGAGCATACGGTGAATCAAGGTTCGTGCTGCGAGCATACGGTGAATCAAGGTTCGTGCTGCGAGCATACGGTGAATCAAGGTTCGTGCTGCGAGCATACGGTGAATCAAGGTTCGTGCTGCGAGCATACGGTGAATCAAGGTTCGTGCTGCGAGCATACGGTGAATCAAGGTTCGTGCTGCGAGCATACGGTGAATCAAGGTTCGTGCTGCGAGCATACGGTGAATCAAGGTTCGTGCTGCGAGCATACGGTGAATCAAGGTTCGTGCTGCGAGCATACGGTGAATCAAGGTTCGTGCTGCGAGCATACGGTGAATCAAGGTTCGTGCTGCGAGCATACGGTGAATCAAGGTTCGTGCTGCGAGCATACGGTGAATCAAGGTTCGTGCTGCGAGCATACGGTGAATCAAGGTTCGTGCTGCGAGCATACGGTGAATCAAGGTTCGTGCTGCGAGCATACGGTGAATCAAGGTTCGTGCTGCGAGCATACGGTGAATCAAGGTTCGTGCTGCGAGCATACGGTGAATCAAGGTTCGTGCTGCGAGCATACGGTGAATCAAGGTTCGTGCTGCGAGCATACGGTGAATCAAGGTTCGTGCTGCGAGCATACGGTGAATCAAGGTTCGTGCTGCGAGCATACGGTGAATCAAGGTTCGTGCTGCGAGCATACGGTGAATCAAGGTTCGTGCTGCGAGCATACGGTGAATCAAGGTTCGTGCTGCGAGCATACGGTGAATCAAGGTTCGTGCTGCGAGCATACGGTGAATCAAGGTTCGTGCTGCGAGCATACGGTGAATCAAGGTTCGTGCTGCGAGCATACGGTGAATCAAGGTTCGTGCTGCGAGCATACGGTGAATCAAGGTTCGTGCTGCGAGCATACGGTGAATCAAGGTTCGTGCTGCGAGCATACGGTGAATCAAGGTTCGTGCTGCGAGCATACGGTGAATCAAGGTTCGTGCTGCGAGCATACGGTGAATCAAGGTTCGTGCTGCGAGCATACGGTGAATCAAGGTTCGTGCTGCGAGCATACGGTGAATCAAGGTTCGTGCTGCGAGCATACGGTGAATCAAGGTTCGTGCTGCGAGCATACGGTGAATCAAGGTTCGTGCTGCGAGCATACGGTGAATCAAGGTTCGTGCTGCGAGCATACGGTGAATCAAGGTTCGTGCTGCGAGCATACGGTGAATCAAGGTTCGTGCTGCGAGCATACGGTGAATCAAGGTTCGTGCTGCGAGCATACGGTGAATCAAGGTTCGTGCTGCGAGCATACGGTGAATCAAGGTTCGTGCTGCGAGCATACGGTGAATCAAGGTTCGTGCTGCGAGCATACGGTGAATCAAGGTTCGTGCTGCGAGCATACGGTGAATCAAGGTTCGTGCTGCGAGCATACGGTGAATCAAGGTTCGTGCTGCGAGCATACGGTGAATCAAGGTTCGTGCTGCGAGCATACGGTGAATCAAGGTTCGTGCTGCGAGCATACGGTGAATCAAGGTTCGTGCTGCGAGCATACGGTGAATCAAGGTTCGTGCTGCGAGCATACGGTGAATCAAGGTTCGTGCTGCGAGCATACGGTGAATCAAGGTTCGTGCTGCGAGCATACGGTGAATCAAGGTTCGTGCTGCGAGCATACGGTGAATCAAGGTTCGTGCTGCGAGCATACGGTGAATCAAGGTTCGTGCTGCGAGCATACGGTGAATCAAGGTTCGTGCTGCGAGCATACGGTGAATCAAGGTTCGTGCTGCGAGCATACGGTGAATCAAGGTTCGTGCTGCGAGCATACGGTGAATCAAGGTTCGTGCTGCGAGCATACGGTGAATCAAGGTTCGTGCTGCGAGCATACGGTGAATCAAGGTTCGTGCTGCGAGCATACGGTGAATCAAGGTTCGTGCTGCGAGCATACGGTGAATCAAGGTTCGTGCTGCGAGCATACGGTGAATCAAGGTTCGTGCTGCGAGCATACGGTGAATCAAGGTTCGTGCTGCGAGCATACGGTGAATCAAGGTTCGTGCTGCGAGCATACGGTGAATCAAGGTTCGTGCTGCGAGCATACGGTGAATCAAGGTTCGTGCTGCGAGCATACGGTGAATCAAGGTTCGTGCTGCGAGCATACGGTGAATCAAGGTTCGTGCTGCGAGCATACGGTGAATCAAGGTTCGTGCTGCGAGCATACGGTGAATCAAGGTTCGTGCTGCGAGCATACGGTGAATCAAGGTTCGTGCTGCGAGCATACGGTGAATCAAGGTTCGTGCTGCGAGCATACGGTGAATCAAGGTTCGTGCTGCGAGCATACGGTGAATCAAGGTTCGTGCTGCGAGCATACGGTGAATCAAGGTTCGTGCTGCGAGCATACGGTGAATCAAGGTTCGTGCTGCGAGCATACGGTGAATCAAGGTTCGTGCTGCGAGCATACGGTGAATCAAGGTTCGTGCTGCGAGCATACGGTGAATCAAGGTTCGTGCTGCGAGCATACGGTGAATCAAGGTTCGTGCTGCGAGCATACGGTGAATCAAGGTTCGTGCTGCGAGCATACGGTGAATCAAGGTTCGTGCTGCGAGCATACGGTGAATCAAGGTTCGTGCTGCGAGCATACGGTGAATCAAGGTTCGTGCTGCGAGCATACGGTGAATCAAGGTTCGTGCTGCGAGCATACGGTGAATCAAGGTTCGTGCTGCGAGCATACGGTGAATCAAGGTTCGTGCTGCGAGCATACGGTGAATCAAGGTTCGTGCTGCGAGCATACGGTGAATCAAGGTTCGTGCTGCGAGCATACGGTGAATCAAGGTTCGTGCTGCGAGCATACGGTGAATCAAGGTTCGTGCTGCGAGCATACGGTGAATCAAGGTTCGTGCTGCGAGCATACGGTGAATCAAGGTTCGTGCTGCGAGCATACGGTGAATCAAGGTTCGTGCTGCGAGCATACGGTGAATCAAGGTTCGTGCTGCGAGCATACGGTGAATCAAGGTTCGTGCTGCGAGCATACGGTGAATCAAGGTTCGTGCTGCGAGCATACGGTGAATCAAGGTTCGTGCTGCGAGCATACGGTGAATCAAGGTTCGTGCTGCGAGCATACGGTGAATCAAGGTTCGTGCTGCGAGCATACGGTGAATCAAGGTTCGTGCTGCGAGCATACGGTGAATCAAGGTTCGTGCTGCGAGCATACGGTGAATCAAGGTTCGTGCTGCGAGCATACGGTGAATCAAGGTTCGTGCTGCGAGCATACGGTGAATCAAGGTTCGTGCTGCGAGCATACGGTGAATCAAGGTTCGTGCTGCGAGCATACGGTGAATCAAGGTTCGTGCTGCGAGCATACGGTGAATCAAGGTTCGTGCTGCGAGCATACGGTGAATCAAGGTTCGTGCTGCGAGCATACGGTGAATCAAGGTTCGTGCTGCGAGCATACGGTGAATCAAGGTTCGTGCTGCGAGCATACGGTGAATCAAGGTTCGTGCTGCGAGCATACGGTGAATCAAGGTTCGTGCTGCGAGCATACGGTGAATCAAGGTTCGTGCTGCGAGCATACGGTGAATCAAGGTTCGTGCTGCGAGCATACGGTGAATCAAGGTTCGTGCTGCGAGCATACGGTGAATCAAGGTTCGTGCTGCGAGCATACGGTGAATCAAGGTTCGTGCTGCGAGCATACGGTGAATCAAGGTTCGTGCTGCGAGCATACGGTGAATCAAGGTTCGTGCTGCGAGCATACGGTGAATCAAGGTTCGTGCTGCGAGCATACGGTGAATCAAGGTTCGTGCTGCGAGCATACGGTGAATCAAGGTTCGTGCTGCGAGCATACGGTGAATCAAGGTTCGTGCTGCGAGCATACGGTGAATCAAGGTTCGTGCTGCGAGCATACGGTGAATCAAGGTTCGTGCTGCGAGCATACGGTGAATCAAGGTTCGTGCTGCGAGCATACGGTGAATCAAGGTTCGTGCTGCGAGCATACGGTGAATCAAGGTTCGTGCTGCGAGCATACGGTGAATCAAGGTTCGTGCTGCGAGCATACGGTGAATCAAGGTTCGTGCTGCGAGCATACGGTGAATCAAGGTTCGTGCTGCGAGCATACGGTGAATCAAGGTTCGTGCTGCGAGCATACGGTGAATCAAGGTTCGTGCTGCGAGCATACGGTGAATCAAGGTTCGTGCTGCGAGCATACGGTGAATCAAGGTTCGTGCTGCGAGCATACGGTGAATCAAGGTTCGTGCTGCGAGCATACGGTGAATCAAGGTTCGTGCTGCGAGCATACGGTGAATCAAGGTTCGTGCTGCGAGCATACGGTGAATCAAGGTTCGTGCTGCGAGCATACGGTGAATCAAGGTTCGTGCTGCGAGCATACGGTGAATCAAGGTTCGTGCTGCGAGCATACGGTGAATCAAGGTTCGTGCTGCGAGCATACGGTGAATCAAGGTTCGTGCTGCGAGCATACGGTGAATCAAGGTTCGTGCTGCGAGCATACGGTGAATCAAGGTTCGTGCTGCGAGCATACGGTGAATCAAGGTTCGTGCTGCGAGCATACGGTGAATCAAGGTTCGTGCTGCGAGCATACGGTGAATCAAGGTTCGTGCTGCGAGCATACGGTGAATCAAGGTTCGTGCTGCGAGCATACGGTGAATCAAGGTTCGTGCTGCGAGCATACGGTGAATCAAGGTTCGTGCTGCGAGCATACGGTGAATCAAGGTTCGTGCTGCGAGCATACGGTGAATCAAGGTTCGTGCTGCGAGCATACGGTGAATCAAGGTTCGTGCTGCGAGCATACGGTGAATCAAGGTTCGTGCTGCGAGCATACGGTGAATCAAGGTTCGTGCTGCGAGCATACGGTGAATCAAGGTTCGTGCTGCGAGCATACGGTGAATCAAGGTTCGTGCTGCGAGCATACGGTGAATCAAGGTTCGTGCTGCGAGCATACGGTGAATCAAGGTTCGTGCTGCGAGCATACGGTGAATCAAGGTTCGTGCTGCGAGCATACGGTGAATCAAGGTTCGTGCTGCGAGCATACGGTGAATCAAGGTTCGTGCTGCGAGCATACGGTGAATCAAGGTTCGTGCTGCGAGCATACGGTGAATCAAGGTTCGTGCTGCGAGCATACGGTGAATCAAGGTTCGTGCTGCGAGCATACGGTGAATCAAGGTTCGTGCTGCGAGCATACGGTGAATCAAGGTTCGTGCTGCGAGCATACGGTGAATCAAGGTTCGTGCTGCGAGCATACGGTGAATCAAGGTTCGTGCTGCGAGCATACGGTGAATCAAGGTTCGTGCTGCGAGCATACGGTGAATCAAGGTTCGTGCTGCGAGCATACGGTGAATCAAGGTTCGTGCTGCGAGCATACGGTGAATCAAGGTTCGTGCTGCGAGCATACGGTGAATCAAGGTTCGTGCTGCGAGCATACGGTGAATCAAGGTTCGTGCTGCGAGCATACGGTGAATCAAGGTTCGTGCTGCGAGCATACGGTGAATCAAGGTTCGTGCTGCGAGCATACGGTGAATCAAGGTTCGTGCTGCGAGCATACGGTGAATCAAGGTTCGTGCTGCGAGCATACGGTGAATCAAGGTTCGTGCTGCGAGCATACGGTGAATCAAGGTTCGTGCTGCGAGCATACGGTGAATCAAGGTTCGTGCTGCGAGCATACGGTGAATCAAGGTTCGTGCTGCGAGCATACGGTGAATCAAGGTTCGTGCTCGAGCATACGGTGAATCAAGGTTCGTGCTGCGAGCATACGGTGAATCAAGGTTCGTGCTGCGAGCATACGGTGAATCAAGGTTCGTGCTGCGAGCATACGGTGAATCAAGGTTCGTGCTGCGAGCATACGGTGAATCAAGGTTCGTGCTGCGAGCATACGGTGAATCAAGGTTCGTGCTGCGAGCGGTGGCAACTTATGAAGCTTGGCGCTTCCCCCTTTGACGGAAACCCCACTATGTCTATGCTCTCTTCCCCTCCGCTCTTCATTCATCCAACGCTTTTGTCTTTTCTCCTTCCCAATTCTTTCGCCTTCATTTCGCCGCAGAACCTGCTGGTGCCAACTGTGGCAGCGGTTGAGGGAGCAGCACTGGGGGGGGGACTGGAAATGCTTCTAGCTTGTGACATTCGAGTGGCAGGTACGGCACAGGCAGGTACGGCACAGGCAGGTACGGCACAGGCAGGCACGGCACAGGCAGGCACGGCTGAGGCAGGTGCAGCAGAGGCAGGTACAGCAGAGGCAGGTACGGCAGATGCAGGCGCGGCAGAGGCAGGTGCGGCAGAGGCAGTTGCGGCAGAGGCAGGTACGGCAGAGGCAGGTGCGGCAGAGGCAGGTACGGCAGAGGCAGGTGCGGCAGATGCAGGTACGGCAGAGGCAGGTGCGGCAGATGCAGTTGCGGCAGAGGCAGGTACGGCAGAGGCAGGTGCGGCAGAGGCAGGTACGGCAGAGGCAGGTGCGGCAGATGCAGGTACGGCAGAGGCAGGTGCGGCAGATGCAGGTACGGCAGAGGCAGGTGCGGCAGATGCAGTTACGGCAGAGGCAGGTGCGGCAGAGGCAGATACGGCAGAGGCAGGAACGGCAGAGGCAGAGATATGGCAGAGATGGTAAATCAGTGTGCTTTGCAGAGTCAGAATTCATGCCTGCCCTCATCACTTTGTGCCGCCTCTAAACTTATCCCCGCCTCTAAACTTATCCCCGCCTCTGAACGTATCCATCCCACGCGGTAATCCCTCCTTGTGTCTTACTACTTCGCAATCCATGCCCGCCCTCGTCACTCCCATTTGATTCTCCCACAGACTTCAACGGAGTTGCTTTTGAAATTTGTCAGAAGAAACCCTTGTGTTTCCGTTTCACTAACACTCGCGTTTTGAGACTCCTCAAAGCAACCCGTGTCACTTCCTCTCCACTCCCACTCTCGCAGGCTTCAATGCCAAATTCGGCCTTCCAGAGACTTCACTTGCCATCATTCCCGGGTGAGCGCATGAGATCACTCGTCGCTCTTTTCTCTGCTCAAAAGAACAGGGAGCTCATTCCCGTGATCCCATTCGTCGTTCATCTCGTCTCATCTCATTTCCATCTCATCTCCTCCCATTCAATTCCTCCTGTTCCATTCACTTGATGCTGTTCCTCTCATCCGCTTCCTCTCGGCCCATTCCTCCCGTTCCGTATCTCCCAACAACCAATCCAGGGCGGGTGGCACACAGCGGTTGCCGCGCCTCATCGGTGCATCTCGGGCCAAGGAGCTCATATTGATCTCAAGTCATCACATCTCTCATCTCTTCTCCTCTCATTCCCTCCCATCGAAATCACTGCAGGGCAGGTGGCACACAGCAGTTGCCGCACCTCATCGGTGGATCTCGGGCCAAGGAGCTCATATTCATCTCAAGTCATCATATCTCCTCTCATCTCTTCTCCTCTCATTCCCTCTCTCATTCCCTCCCATCGCAATCACTGCAGGGCGGGTGGCACAAAGCGGTTGCCGCGCCTCATCGGGGCATCTCGGGCCAAGGAGCTCATATTGATCTTATATGTTTCATCTCATATGTCCTCGTCTCATTTCATCTCATCTTTTCCTGCACTTTCTCCCATCTCATTCCCTCTCCTCCCACCCCTCCCAACACTCACTGCAGGGCGGGTGGCACGCAGCGGTTACCGCGCCTCATTGGGGCATCTCGGGCCAAGGAGCTCATTTTCACGGCTCGGGTTGTGCGCGCTGATGAGGCACTGTCACTGGGTGAGAAAAGGCGCAAGGGGACTAATGTGTCGTCTTGAGGTGTGATGAGCAAGGGGTGTTGAGAGCATCTTGAGCCAAGGAGCTCAAATTCACGGCTCCGATTGTGCGTGCTGACGAGGCTCTCTCCTTTGGTGAGAGGGAGGGGCGAGTGGGGAGAGTGAGTGGGGAGGATATTGACTGTGGTGTAACTAGTGTCGCCTTGAGGTTGTATGAAAGCAAGGGGCTTTCAGAGCATCTCGAGCCAAGGAGTGGGTATTCACGGCCTGGGTTGTGTGTGCAGACGAGGCACTCTCTCTCGGTGAGAGGGGTGGGCGAATGGGAAGGGCAAGTAGGTTGGGTGAGAATTAAGGGCGAGTGTCGAGGGTGAGTGGGGTGGGTGAGAGTTAAGGACGAGTGGGGAGGGTGAGTGCAGTGGGCGAGTGAGTAATACGAGTGAGGAGGTGAAAACAGTCAATCACCAATCAATGTTTTGTTGCTCGTCAGAGCAAGACAAGTTCGCACACCGTCATTGATGCTCGTGCATTCTTGTTTCTTCTTTTTAGCTGCCTAAATATCGTCAGGTTTTCTCAGTCGCACCTAAAACTATTGGGCCTTCTTGGGACCTAAAACTATCCAGAGTGTTATCTGAGGGGAACGATCTTGCAGACCCTCTTGACATGTTTCTGTGAGGGGGTATGCATGGTGGGTGTATATGCATGTGCGTATGTGCGCGCGCATCTGTGTGTCATGTCATGCATGCATGCAATGCATGTGGCATGTTTACATGCATGTATGTGTGCATGCGTGTTCGTTTGCATGCTTGCATTTGCGCACGTATGCACGGATGTGTGTATCCATGCACGTGCATCTGTGTGTATGCATGGTTGCGTGTGGATGAGTATGCATGCATGTGCATACGTGTGTTCTTTCACATGTGTGCATGGGTGTGTATATGTATGCACGTGCACCTGTACGCATACAGGCATTGTGAGTCACTGCGTACCTGCAGGAACTGCATATGACACAGCCCTTGAAATCGCAAGAACCATCCAACGCAATGTAAGTCAACTCACAAGTTTACAACTAAAAATATGTCATGACTTCTCTTGCAGCTGCCTGTCTCCCTCCATCTTTATAAATCAGCATGTAGCACTACTGTTTTGAAGTGGCAAAGTGTCTTGATTTGAAGCAAGGGCGACCGTCAGTGTATGAAACGGAAGCCAGTGTATTCTGGAGTGTAAATATATTCCTATATAAAACGCATTTACCCGATAACTTTTTTTTGGCTTCTACACACATCACAATCAACTTATAAGTTGCAAATATATGAAACACTACATCCAAAACTATACCCCCTCCTCTACTGTATCGAGCTAAGAAACGCTGCAAGGTATGGAGATGTGGTAAACGGATATGCCACGTGGCCGAGGTACGTTGGCGCTGCACGTCCCCGCTGCAAAGTTCATCGATTATGGACATAATCATTTTTCGTCCGTTGTAATCGTGATTCTGCCGGGAACAATCAAAACCCATTGTTTTCGTAACAAGATCGTCGTTCATGCCCGACGAAGTTGTTGAAAATTTCGCATGAGCTGATACGGAAAATATTTTTTGTCTCAAACTGCTCGTTCCTTTTGGATTGAACAACTGAAAAGTCAAGTGTGCTGGAAGCTAACTGCGGGGCCATCCGAGGTGGTTGTCCTTTATTGTTTTTTATGCCCGACGGTCAGCATCACCCCTGGGCAAAGGGAGTCCCTCAGTCGACAGATTGAGACACTGTACATACAGATGATCCTCAAGTCATGCGCTCCAACCATGGTCTAGTGATATTATGTGCACGTCTTGTACATCTTCGCTGTTTGAAACTGCTTGCTGAAAAATTGTCCAACTGAAGCCTGCTGTGGAAGTTACGAAGGCTACAACAAGAGACATGTATTACCAAGGCAAGTTCCAGTTACAGTCAGACAAATTTGCCATATTTTCTTTCCAGATATTTTTCCCGTCCCCTTTGCCCGTGGTGAGTTGCAATCGGCGTGGGCAACATGAACGGGATAGGAATATTTGCGGGCCAAGGTAGGCCATCATCTGTACCAACATTTCTCCAATTGCCCACTTACAGCCCCAATTGTTCTAGGGTGCAAGATGACGTGGCAGGGTAAATGCAAGGCCCATTTCAGTCCATTGACAAGGACAAAATTTATCCTAACGAGCATCATTTGTACACTGAGGTGGTTTGTAGCCGCCCCTCAGTTACCTCCACACACTATACATTGCGTTTTCCCGCCAAAAGACATTGCTGACTCCTACTTCCACCTCACCACAATGAGCACGAGTGCATCAGAGAGAATGATCTGGCAGTTGCATCGAGATGCTGATTGGTTTCCAAGATTCCAGCATATCAAACAGCGTCGTCGAACGGGGTGGGGGAGTTGGAATTGGGAGTTGCAGACGGGCTTGCTGGCGAGTCTAATCACCACAGAGAAACCTGGCAATGCTGGTTCACTGAAAACAAGTACGACATATGTTCTGTTTCAGGGGTCGTTTTCACAGTTTGGTCGTGTGCCTGTAGGAACAAGTCTCGACTGTAGTGACAGGCATTTTAACTCAGAAAAATATGCGGGTGTTTCTTGGATGCAAAATAGAAGGGTTACTGGCAAGGGGTCAGTTCGATCGACCTGTTTCTGAAGTTAAGGATACGGGGTCTCTCTTCATCCACTTCACCCAGCACTTCACCACCCAAGCATACATTTCTGGCAAGCTTGCCCGTTTTGAACCTCCAAGACTCCACATTGTAGCTTTGTTTGCTTAGAGTCCGAGTCCTAGCAGTCGCACATAATTCTATTTTTAGACACTCCCCTCTCTGGCCGTGACAATTTGGACATGTTTGCGTTTCGTTAAGACTCTAGAGTTACAAGGGACAACGTCACATCGCGCGCGTCGTCCGGTGACCGGAGGCTATTCAGGGTTTCAAGCCCGAGGCGCGGCAAAAAAAAAAACAAACAAAAAAAACAAAAAAAAAAACAAAAAAAAATCTGCTACTACTGCTAACCGCGACGGTGCAAGATGATTGACGTAGATTCTCCGTACAGAAGACGCGCCGCTGCAAATGAGATAATCTCCAGCTCAAATCAAGCCGCAGCAAAGGCGACTCGGATGACTCTGTGTGGACACAGGTCAACGGAGACGACTCAAGGTTCAGCTGCGGCGGGCTCAAAGCGAGCGGCATTGCGCGCTGCACTGCCGCGCACCGACGCGCCCTCTGGAGCGAATGCGAAAAAGACGCCAGAACAAGTTGTTCAACCTCCAGTTGAAGAAGATCCGAGCCATTACCGGTGGCAGAAACTCTCCCACAAGTGGCTGTGCCAACGGACGGTCAAAAGGTGCGGTGGCGTCCTTGTTTCACAAGGTGTTCAGAGTGGTCACAGGGCGATGTTCACGGGTTCTCAGGGTGTTCAGAGGGTGTTAAACGGTGTTCAAAGGGTTCTCAGAGTGTTCGCAGGGTGTTCAGTGACTCGCCGCCCTTCCTCTCTCCCACTCCACCCACCAGGACCTACTTAACGTCTGATTGCAAGGCCGACTCGGCTAAAAAAACTGAATCCCCTCCCTACCCTTCGCCTTCTTCTCCCTCCCAGGATCTACTTCACGTGTGTGTGTGCAAGGCTGAATCTCCTCCCCCTTGTACGCACCTCTCTCCCGCGATTCCACCCACCAGGATCTACTTCACGTGTGTGTGCAAGGCCGTCACGGGATGCACGGCGCGCAAAGTGGAGGACCGCACCCCCGGCCCGCCTCGCGGCAAGCACACCGCGCCTCCCGCCGCCGCCGCCCCCCCTGCTGCTGCTGCCGTCTTGACAAGCGCTGGTCATCAGGCCTATGATGCTGCTGATGATGCAACTGCGGCTGCTGCTTTGGAGGGTGAAGGTTCCACCCATGGGGAGGTGCAGACGGTTGGAGGCATCCCCGCCCGGACTGAGCGCGTGGAGATGCGCAAGGTGGTGCGGGTGACGACCTCAGGCTTCCACAACCACCCTCCCACAACCTGCCGCAAGCGCCGCCGCTGCAGCGACACCCCCGCACCCGCCCCCGCCCCTGCACCCGCACCCGCCGCAGCCCCTGTGCTTTCTGAGGGCCATCCGGAGAGGAAGCTGTTCTACCAGCCTGGTGGGGAGTTGGGGTTCCATGCTGCAGGGAGGATGATGAACTATCAGCCTGAAGGGAGGATGTGCTTTCAGCCTGAAGGGAGGCTGAGTTGTCAGCTTGGGGAGTCAAGCTACCAGCCTGGGGAGTTGAGCTACCAGGCTTCAAAGCGCCACAGGGCAACACCGGTTCAAGCCGAGCGGGATGGTCCCGCGGGGAGCCCCAGCGCCAGCTGCTGCAAGGATGAGCCGTCACGGTGCCCTGCTGGCGGCTCTGCGTCTGCTCCACAGTTACCAGATGGGCCGCTTTTGTCTGCTGGCGGCTCTGCGCCTACTGGCGGCTCTGCATCTGCTGGCGGGTCTGCGTCTGCTCCAGAATCACCAGATGGGCCGCTCTGGTGTGCTGGTGGCAGTGCAACGTGCTTTCCGCAGTTGCCAGCAACGGCATGCGCCACGCAAGGAGTGGATCGGAGCAACCGCGGATCGCAACAGCGCTTAACGATCCAGTTTCCGAACCGTGTTCCGAGCCCAGCAGGCCCGGCAGCCGCACCAGAACCAGCAGGCCCGGCAGCTTCAGCCATCCCAGTTTTACTCGCAGGAAAAACAGCCCCAGTAGCCTCTTCAGCGGCTCATCCGCAGGAGCAGAAGCTTCCAGAAAACAGCAAAGCAGCTGGCACGAGCAGCAACTGCAACCTTGCCTTCCTGATGGGGGTGCTTCTGACACCCCCTGAGAGACAGGTGGTGCTGTCAAGGCTCCTCAGCCTGCATGGTGCATTGGACAACAGAGCCCAGTTGAATGGCATTGACACGACAGACCTTGCCCAAGACCTCGCCCCAAGCCTTGCCCCAAGCCTTGCCCAAGGCCTTGCTTCAGGCCTTGCCCCAGGCGTGTGCAGCAGCAGCTGCAACTTCGGTGGGGCTTCAGGCACGGCCGGCCAGGCTCCTTCTTCAAGCATGGATTCAGGCGTTGCTGGTGGCGCTGGTGCCGCTGCTGATGCTGCTCCTACCGATGCAGCTCCTACCGTTGCTGCAGTTCTGGTCGCTGCTGCTCCGCCTGCTGTCAACGCTACCACACCTGTGCTTGATGCACCTGCATCTGTCTACACATCTGTCACAAGAGCAGCAGTGCCGGATTCTTCAACCAGCTTCTTGAATGAGGTGGGTGAAATCTGCTGCACATTCAGCTAAATATTTGCTGCCTGCTGAGCCGGATACTTTGGCAGCATATATTCAACCTAAGCCCTCAAGGCTC